TCACTTCCCAGACGTCCTTCCAGCAAGGCAAGCATACTTCTGACTGCAAAGTAGAGCGTCCTGCGTCATGCCAAGCAATCCTGGTCACGCAAAAGACATACTTATCTCGTAGCTCTACATACTAACATTAGTCGACATATCCAATAATGAGTATTATCGAACATTACTTCGACTAATTAATACTGTGAAACGTGTCGCTAATAGACAGTGGACTTAGATTGACACGCGTCGCGTACCCATTGAATAGGTGAGCGTCGTTTAGATCTGTGGGTTTGAGCGGTTAGACTTAACCATAGCCCAAACGTCACATATGATCACGACCAAGAAGTTGGCCCGTTTCAAACTCCTTTTGAACTCGTGACAAAACTTGAACACACGATTAAGCTGCGCCCCTATACGTGCGTCAGCAACTCTGAGTTGCGCCTCCCCGTCAACTCAACTTTCTTCTAATTGGCTACGCCTCCCCGTTAGCTCCAATTCAAATCGGCTGCGACTCTCCGTCAGCCCCAAATCACTTCAACAACCGTTCAACTTCAAATTTCAACCAGCTGCACCTCTCCGTCAGCTCAATTTAAAATCAAACTTCAAAATTCAATCAGAACTCCATCACAGTTTGGACGCCCCAGGTCGAAAAGCATGCAGGCGGCAGTGGAACCACAACCTTTCAAATTGGTCGGTTTAGGAATACAACGAGACCTTAAAGTACTAAGCCGATTATACCAAGCGTCTTCAAATTGCACCCTAGCAACACAACTCCACGATCAATTCACCCTTGTGACCTCAATCGAAGTCCAAATGTTGCAAAAAGTTGCCACTGCCTCAAAAAGCACCTAATCCAGCTATGGGCAAAAAATGAGCCCAAGAGGATTTGAACCCGTGACCCTACGGTCACTTAAGCAGATGCCCCGACCGCTAAGCAGTTGCCCCGACCACTGCCTAACCACTGGTCAGACTGCTGGTTAGTTGGCTAACCACAGCTTAACCATGCACTGCACTACTTTTCTCACCTTTACAGACTCCTTGTGTAGTAGTGTACCTTGCGCCCCAAACTCTCGTGATGCTCCACTTGTTGCAAGCTTTCACGCCTTGAAAGCTCCAACTTTCTGTATGTAGGGGGAGAACGCGGGTTGTTAGCGTCTCGTCATCACAAGTGGAAGCATAGCATTTATAGCAATCACGGTCAATCGCATATACGACATACCAACACATGTGCAACACCCCAGGCACCATGCGGAACTTCTGTTATGGCACTATAGCAAACTAGATGAGATGAGAGGATGGAACGAATTGAGAGAGACAAAACAAGCTTGGGTAATAGGCGAATCGATGCGCCTCAAACAAGTTCACTTGGCAAACCAAGCGATTCACAACACAAGCAATACACCCTGCTAAATACTTTATGTTGCTCCCGTCGTTGGTGATACTGCCGGCGTCTCCTCGTAAGTTCGGGCTCTTCTAGTTCTCAACATCGCCCTTCGTCCTTGGCGGTTCTCAGAGACTTGAATTCACTGCCCTTCGTCCTTGGCACAAGTCTTGGTTGGCGCTTTCTAGCTCTAAGTCTTACCACTAGTAGGAAGGTGAAAGAAGGCCTATCAAGCTTCTAGCAAGGTTACAGCAACATACAGAAAGTTGGGTCGCACGCTAACTTTCGCCCGAGTTTTATAGGTTGCAAATTCGGAGTTCGTTGTGGGCTAATTTGGTTCATTTCGGCGCGCCAAATCCCGGCCGTCAATCATTAATATCGAAGATTGAAATCGTACTCCTCGACTCCAACTCTAATCTAGCCATCGAAACTCCCATCGACGGTCCAAATTCGATAAGTCCAAATTCCGCCGCAAATCCGCCGCAAATCCGCCGCAATTCCGCTGCGATTCCGCAGCCACAACAATTCGGAAACTCAACGCCTTTTGAGCTCAACTCCGCCTCGCTTTGGGCGCAACACAACCGTTCGCAAGTTAGCCAATTAACAACACTTCTCCTTGCTAATTGCTACTACTACTATTGCCCGTGTGTTCGGGCTACAAGTCTTACAACATATAGCCTTAGGCGTGGTCTCAAAACAGATAAGCAGACATAGACCGAACTCCGCAATCTCAAATCTAGGAGGGTGTAAGGGTGGCCCCGGCGGCCGGCGGGATGGCCCGGGAAAGTGATGGGTCGGGGTGTTGGCGGCAGGCGGCCAGCCAGAAGGAAAACTAGCGGCCGTAAAATACAGATTTTCGGACTGCAAAGCTTACTTTTATGCTGGCATATTCCAGCAGGTTGTATATCCGAGTTGTGGACTTATGCAATTGTCAAGCAATATGTTGCTGATTATAGTACAAAAAGGGGTCATATCAGCCATATACGCCTGTTTTTTTTTTAAATTTTCCGCTTGCAATGGAAGGGGGGGCTGACTGGCGGCTGGCTTGAAAAAAATGGCAAAATTCCGTTGGGGGCCAGCCTGGCGGCCGGCGAAAATGCGGAGTTCGGTCTGTGGCTGTATGTATGTTTTGAAACCACGCCTTAATCACATTGCGCAACCGGCACCTTGGTCGCTATCTATTTTCCACTTCAACATTAAAAACTCCTTCAACTTCACAAGTCTGGCAATTCCAGTAAAGTTACATTTGCGATTCCTCACAACAACGATGCCATATGACCTGACATGTGAAGGAAGCGCGCGTACGTGAAATAAAAAAACAAGATGCGACCGCATGAAGAAATCGAGAAATTTCGTTCCAATGCGAGGGGGGAGGGAAACACAAATACCGTTGATTATACTGAGAAATCTAACACTTTTCGACTCGGATCCTTAGAAATCGCAAAAGAAGAAGAGCAACAGTTGCCATATCATGTACCAAAAGACCAGCGCAGAACTGACGCTCGACGTAACAAAGAGGAGGATGAACAACGTGCACGAAGTATTAAAATGACAAAAGAATCGGAGGAGTTGGATAAACTCCCCCCCATCATCATAATCATGTACTCATCACAGAAATTACGAATACTGGAAGGATCCAGCTGATTTACAATGGATTGGACGTTCGAGGACACCACCTGCGGATCCAAATCCAAACAGTTACAAGAATCCACATCCAAATTTCCAAACTGTGTTAAAGGCTGACCCACACGGTTATGATTTTGGGTTTCATACCCTATCACCTGAGGACCAGGCCACTCAAGTGGCCAGACTGGCAGCTATGACTCCTAGACCTACGGGGTCAAGTTCGTCACCTCACACTGCCATTGGCTCAGGGTCTGAGTCAGAAAGTTCTGACTCTGGATCAACGGACTGCGCCGAAGACCCCGCACTAGTGGCGGTCACTTCAGCTGCAGTCACTGGATGTCCAAGAGAACCAGACTCCCTACCCATCCAGTCGGAAAGGGCAGCCCGTGCCAGCCTGACTGAGCTTGACCCATGTACGAACAGCCCTAATGTCACATGTCAACTCACTTCAAGCGTTGAGACATCTGACAATCCAGCATTAAGCCTAGAAAACGTCGACTTTACAGTCGACCAACAACCAATCATTGGCTCTGAAAAAATTCTGCATCACATGGAGTCCACCAAGCCTAGTCAGCTAGGCCTCACTGGATATGCTTCCACGGGCATTCAGGGAAGGGGCATTCTACCCAGCCCTTCAAACTTGGTGCAGCTGGCTGACCCATCAGCCACTTCTGTTGGACCCCCCAGCAGAGTTGAAGCACAGCCTTGCCCACAAAGTCATCTCCCCGCAACGGCCGCCCCCGCACCATGGCAATTGCAGCAGGCAGCGGGCACCAAGCCAGGGTGGCGCGAGACTTGCGCCCTCAGAGGGAGACGCGCGGTGGCCTGACCAAGGAAGTTCTGCAGGATGCAGGAGACGCGGAAGCTGAAGGTGGGCAGGCACCAAACTCTCAAATTGGCAATGCGCAGGCAAATGCTAGCATCAGCCAGCAGGAGCCTGTCGTAAACTCGGAAAATGCCATGGGCTCACCATCACAAACGGGTGTCCCAATTGCATTAGCTCTGACGGCAGACTCGCAAATCATTGATGTCCCTGAGCCGGAGGTTTTGGAGAACGTTAGCCAAGGGGAAATTGCAGCTAGCACTGGCACGAAGGGATCTGTTTCAACTTCCAGCGGGGACTCGGAAGAAACCTCATAAGAGCCCACTGAAACAGAGAGCAGTAGCGAGGTCTGGAGAGCTCTATTCTCCATCGTCACGGGAGAGCAGCCCAGAGGAGTCGGTAGGATTGGGGTCCAGCGAGTTCACAACGTCAACGGACTCAGAGTCAACCGGCTCCGGAAACTCATGTGACTCGTCCACGTCTGCAGAACATGAGGATCTCCCGCCCATGAGCCTTTCCCTGACCTCCCCCCAGTACGAAGCTTTCCGCAAGGAGTGCCTGACGCGCCGGCCCTATGACCCTGCAGACCGCAGGCTGGGCACGGCCCTGGACTCCCTCGACCCCTGGAGCCGCACCCACTACATCCACGACCCTGCCCTCAAGCCCAAGTTCTGGCGGAGAGCGGAGCAATACAAGAAGGGTCACATCATCGGGTCCTACGTCTGCCTCGCAAACCGCCGCGTCCCGGCCGGCAAGAACAAGCTGAAGAGCATGGCCAAGGTGGACAAGGTCATCGTGGCCTTGGACCGCCACCACTGGCGCATGCAGAACAAGCAGCAGATGGATCGGTGCCTTGCCTGGATTGAGGAGGTGGACCAGGCCCAGGCGGACTACGCCAAGCGGCACAAGGACGACGCGGCCCCGCCCCCAAGAAGCCCAAGCGCCGCACGCAGCTCAATGTGCTGGAGGAGATCATTGGCGCCGCAGCGGACGACTCTGACTCGTCCATCAACGTCAAGGAGCTCGCCGACTTCTACAAGGCGTACAAGGCCATCGCCAAGGCCGCCGACGACACCACCCAGTCGCAGCCCGCCGTTGTGCAGAACGCGACGGCTGCCATTAACCCCCAGGCCGCGGCCCAAGAAACCGCAGCCTCTGACGGTGAGGGGCAGGAGGCGAACACCCAGGACAACACCGCCCCGGACAACGCCTCCCCAGACCTGTCAGGCGCGGGCGCGGACCCCGCAGATGACGCCGCCGAGGACCAGACTGCGGGCCTCAACGACTCGCCCACCGGCCCCCGGCAGCGCTCAACCTCTCCCGTCCTTCCTAACCCCGCGCAGAACCTGGCCGCAGACACGGCCCCTGCGCAGGCATCCCTTTCCCCGGCTGCACAGGCTCTGGCCCACGAGGCCTCTGTGCAGCTACAGGACAACCAGACCCCCGACCTGCACGCCCCTGCACCAGGCGCGCAGCCCGTCCTCGTTACGCAGACCCCGGCCACACCAGCCCCTGCGCAGAACCAGGACCAGCCAGTGGTCACCACGACGCCGCCGGCACAGGCCCGCACCACTTCCGTGCAGCCTGCTTCCCAGGCCCTTGCGAATCAGCCCCCTAACCAGGCTGATCCCGCAGAGCCTCGGGCCATCCTTCCGCCGCGCCGGCCGGGACCTGACACCCGCATGCGGCCGCAAGACACGGCAGCCACCACGGAGCTGCCCAAGAGGAAGAAGAAGAACCGCCCCGACCCAGGACCTGACACCCTGAGAGGGCCCTGGCAGCCGGCACCCGCGGTTCCCTCGCCACTTTGCGAGGCTTTTCCGCAGCCTGCGCCTACACCATTGCGCAGGGAGCGCAAGCGGGACCAGGCTCAGCCGCCGCACGCGCCCCAGAAGCAGTCCCCTCCGCCGGTCACCGCCGCGGAGGCGATGAACGAGCGCCGGAAGCGCAAGAACGCGCGCCGCCACCAGCGCCTCACCACCGAGGACGCAAGGGGATCCCTCCCCCGCAAGAAGTCGAAGAGCGGACATTCTGTCCGGACTCCGCCAGGACCTGACCCGGCTGCGCAAGCAGCCAGAGAAGGGCGGACAGGACGTCCGCCAGACCCTGAAGAAGCTGCGGCGACCTGGACCTGCGAAGACTACCGAGCTGGCCGCCATGGACCCCGACGAGGGCCCTGTCGCCCGCCTGCCGCCGGCGCCCGCGGCCCCAGAGAAGTCCGCCAGCGACGGCAACGGCAGTGACAGCAGCGAGCCTCAAGTTCAGGCCCACCGGCAGCAAGCCCGCCAACCCGTACGACCTGGTAAGTGTTGTTGATCAGGAAAGAGTGGCTGCGCAGGATGTCTACATTGAAAAATCGACAAAATTGCGCACAGCCCATCAAGTCAAAATACCACCCGAACGGGCCTGTGCGGCACAGGTCAACTTAGAAGAACCCATTCTGTCAGAGCCCACGTTTTTTGTTGGGTTCACCAGCGCTCAAGTCAATGCTGTCAACCAACTGCTGGAACTAACAAAAGGAGTAGCGCTGGAATTCCATTGGACTTCAGCGCACAGCCTTCCTTGTGAATTTCTAAAAATGCTGGGACAATGGTTAAACACTTTGGTTCAGTCCCGTTGGCTTCTTGAATCAGAACGTTTAGTTTACAATTTTCTTAAGCCAAAGCCAGAAGCAGAACTCACTCTGGAGTTCCAAAGTGCCTGGCAGACTGTGGCCCTGTTTATGAGCCTGTGTCTGGCGTCGCAATTTCTACATGCCACTGCGTTAGGTGTCTATCGTCACTATACTTGGTGCGAAATTAAACAGCCCACAGCCATCCGGCACATGATTTACGCTCCCCCGTTGGCCTTCTGTGGTTTGCCTGTAGAACAGGCCAATTTGGCCCACACACATGCCAAATCACTACAGTATGCTCTGCGTCCAGATAGTTCTTTCCACATGGACAAATTTACACTCACCAATCATGCAGACCGAGTGTCCGGATTTCACCACGCACTGGCACCCAGAATTGACAACTCGGGACCCAACCCAGCCTTTTTTATTAACGGCGTGGCTCTGAAGTGGTTGACAATCGACACCGGCTGCGAAAGTGTGATCATTTTCAATTGGACAGCCAAAAAGTTAGGCATTAACGCAGAAATGCGCCAACGCAAAGCAATTAGTTTGATTACTGCAGATGCGGTCACGACAGCACCAGTGGACAGGACCTGGGACTGGCACGGTTGAGATCTCAATCAACTCGGGCACGTCTGCGGCCACAACGGTGCAGGTCAAGCTAACCATAGTTCCGTCGCAGACACGCGAAACTTTAATTGGCATGAGCCTCATTGGGCGGATTGGACTCACGCCAAATCCATACACTCAAACTCTCACGTATTATTACAGGGTGGTGGGAAGAGAATTCTCCATCCGCAGAGCTACCAGCTATTTTTAATGTTGATCTCATCAACTCAGGACTCAGCTCTGCAACCAGCTCGCGCATAAATAAAGTAACGTTGTCCTATGCAGGACGTGTGACGGACCCACGGGCCCCCAGACCGCCATCAGCTTTTCGGCATTTGTGTACAGGACCTGTCCCGGCGCCTCAAACGGCGCATGACGAGCGAGCCGTCCGGCTCCAGTTAGAATTTCAGGATCAGGTAGACACCCAGAGCGTCATTGCTAGCTTTCAGCGTAGCATACGCAGCCTCACAGAGGCGCCAGAGCTGACGATTCTGTTAGCATCTAGACATGGATCCCCATTGGATCCAAATTTCGTGGACATCCATGAACAAACAGCTGTGAACAGCCTAGGCATAGTGGTCATTGAACTCTGTCCCGGACTGTGCGCGACAACTGAAGCGCTCGTCCGCGCAGGTGTAAAGATTCGCAGAATGTATGCCTGTGAAATTGACGAAACATGTCGGCAAGTAGCCAAACAACGATTGGCCAGACTCAGCCAATTGTTCCCACATCATATAACAATGGATGCTGTTGCCATTTGTCACAATCAACTACCAAATGATAGAGCGGACATTACCGCGCAGCATATTGCTGGCTTGGAACCGCCAGATATTTTGATTGCCGGATTTCCATGTCAGGGATTCTCATCCGCAGCCACAAAGCCCCTTGGGCTTTGCGATACACGGACAAGTCTCTTCTATACATGCGTAGAGATAATACATTGGATCTATAACCAACATGGACCATGTGTATGGCTGTTTGAAAATGTCGACGCCACAGACCACCGCGACTCACAAGTTGCGCATGAATTTAACCACATAGTAAAGGGCATCCTAGGCCACGGCGTGGCTTTCGATGCAGTAGCAGTCGGCTCGTATGCACACCGTCACAGACGATTCTGGACCAGTGGCATACCAGCTGCGCTATTAGGGCACATGGTCACACATACATTTGAAAACTGTGTGCCCACACAGTCACTAAGCGACATCATTGAGCCACAACATGAGGCACAACTCGCAGCACACGAGTCGGTGCCAGGAAATTATGTCGTGAATGAGATCGGCAAGCCACTTCGCGCATTCTCCACATTCCTTACTGTACGAGGTTCCCATGCCTACCGCAACAATGGGCATAGCCTCCTCATCAACACAGAGACATGTCAACTTGAGGAACCGAATGCTAATGAAAGGGAAGCCGCCATGGGTTTCATGGTGGGAACCACTAAACACGAAGCAGCTTCGGAAGCGGATCGCATGAAAATGCTATGAGGCACCATGGACATGTTCCAGATAAAGTTCATTATGAGCGCTATCATGGTCTTTCAGCACGCCTTTTTCCTTAATTGACGGCGCGCAGAGTCACAGTTAGCCAACATACGCGCAGCTAATGTGACTCACTTAGCTAAGCTCAGCCGCATTCCAACTTCCCGGCTCATTTCACCATTCGAACTATACAAATTAGCAGTTCTTAACGATCGCTCAATCATGTCTCACCCCGATTTCCGTACCCGAGTGCATAGCGAACGCCCAGGATGGTATGCAAGGGGGGAGGAAGATAAAAATGAGTTTGCCTGGCAATGACCGATTAAAAATCGCTCTGTCAACAAGCACCATAGATGACAGGCAAAACACTCTGAGCCCACCACTTTCAGAGCAGCAAAACCCTAACCACCCACTCAGCAGACAAGAAGCCAGACTTCAACTGAGGCGCGCAGGAAAGGGCAATGAAAGCTCACCCAATGAGCACGTGAATCACAAGCATGATTCACTTCAGAATGAACCTCTGGCCAAGTCAGAAACCCCTCCTCACAAACCAAGTCTACTTAACCAACCTGTTAGTTATGCAGGCTCACCCAAGCATACTACACTTCCCTCAAGACCAGACACAAAGCCTGCAGGACACCAGAGTTTAACTGTTAAGCCTGCAAAAGCAGCAGAAGAAGAATGGAGCTGGCCCCTAGGAGCATCATTGACAGAACAGCAACAATGCCAACTGACAGAACTCCTGGACATCTTCAAGGACATCTTTGCATTCAACATGAAAGAGATGACCACCATACCTGGAGTGGAATTTGAAATACCAGTTAAAGACGAAACTCCAGTGTTCAAACATCAATACCGTCTAGCGCAGTCGGAAAAAGAGGATCTGGCGCAACAAGTGGCAGAACGACGTGAATGACCTCATCAGACCATCCACGTCACAATGGGCCTCCCCCATTACCATGCCATCCAAGAAGGACGAGAATGGAGATTGGACACAGAGGAGGGCTTGCGGAGACCACCGCGGCCTCAATCGGGTCAGTATCCCTGACCACTACCAAATTCCAACACCAGAAGAGATATTCGACGTAATAGGCGACGCAAAAGTATTTACTACTTTGGATTTTCGACAGGGTTACAACCAGATACGGATTGTAGAAAAAAGATCGGTGCAAGACCGCCTTCTGGGGCGCAGATGGGTTATACGAATGGCTAGTCATGCCATTCGGACTAAAGAATGCACCAGCCTTCTTCCAGAAGGTTATGGATCAAACCCTACGCGCAGAACGAGCTTTCTGTCGATGCTACATTGATGACCTAATTGCTTTTAGCAGAACGTTTGATGAACACTTGTCACATCTGAAACAAGTGTTCCAATGGCTAAGAGACAGGGGAGTCAAATGTCATCCCAAAAAGATGCGCGCCGCCAAGCCAGACGTGGGATACTTGGGCCATCTGATTGTCCCCCAAGGAACAGCAGTGCAAGAAAAGAAGGTAGAGGCAATCTTGAGAATTCCGCCTCCACCCGATGTAAGTGCACTCAGAGCCTTCGTAGGAACTGCCGGCTACTACCGGAAGTTTGTAAAAAGTTACAGCAAGATAGCAAGTCTGCTAAACCACTTGCTGCAGGAAGGAGTATCATACGACTGGACAGATGAGTGTCAAACAGCCTTCGACACCCTGAAGAAACACTTAACGGAAGCACCTATCCTGCGCAGGCCCGATTTCACTCGTGAGTTCGAATTACACACT